CATTATGGTTCTGAGATGCTCGATGACCCTGGAGGGATCGTTTTTGCTTATTGAGCAGAAAATCATGGGTTTAATCCCAAGCTCTCCATCGTGACTCTTAAAATCCATGATCTAAACAAAATGAATATTTTCTCTCGATAGTTGGCTATCGAGAGATTAAATGAACAACAAATAAACAATACATACTTTTGGTTGCATCGCCAACTTGAGGCGAATCCTAACCGAATACCCTACCCAACCCTCCAACTCCGTAGCACTTATGAGGGTGTCGCTAAGTCGGTGGCCTCTCGTTAAGTAAGTACTACATCAACATTTCCTTCCCTATCCCTAGTTATGGTAAAGATGGGCGTGGCCGGGAATAGCGACAGTCATGCTTCTGTTACTCTTGTTTAGATTGGAACCAATGTTTACTCCCCAGCATTATTCCTGAAAGTAGTCTAACTGAGGATTTCAGAAAAGACGTGAGTGTCGCTAGTATCCAATCTACGAAGTATATCATAACAACGCTAACGCTAACGCTAACAAAGTATGGAGAGCATGTTGATATTCCAGATTGATACGCAAACTGAAAATTAGATATTGGATGCGTTAACATGTAAGTTGAATTGATGATGTCATTCAACACCTTTACCATAGTCTTCAGTAAAATTGATGAGAGACTAATGGGCCTAAATGCTTTTGGTTTCGTTTTATCACGCCTCCCGTTTTTCGGTATGAATATTACTCTTACCAATCTTCATTTTGATGGAATGTAGTTTAATCTTAAACTCGCCTTATAAAGCTTAGTTAGAGACGGAAACAGCATTGCTTCACCGTTTGAAGTAGTGCCGGGAATATGCCATCCAAACCCGCAGATTTAAAAGGCTGAAAAGATTTCACAGCATTCTCCACTCTGGCAATTGTGTAAATTTCATCAGCTATATCTGGTATGGTGTTTTCTGTTCGCTGAGACACTGGCAAGGTCTCTATAGAACACATTTCACCAACAGAATCAGAATTATCTGATTCCACACACAATACTGAACCTGGAAAATGTGTTTCCGTCATTAAATTTAAAGTTTCAGATGGAGATTTGGTAAAACCTCCATCATGACATTTAAGATTACCAAGTTCAATCGCATGGTCTTTCGCAAGAGTTTTCTGTAATCTCGCGACTATAGGAGTACTGTTTATATTTTCACACATTTGAATCCAAGACCGCCTCTTAGATTTCCGTATTTCATTATTATATTCAGATGGGGTTTTCTTATATTGAGTTCAATGAGAAGTGATTTTCGCCTTATTGAAGATCTTACGTGAAACTTTTCGAAGGCCTTCCAATTTCAAATTCCACCACGGCACACCCTGTTAGAAGACGGCCGTTTGATAGGACAGCTACTGTTGTAAGGATTTATAATTCCTTCGTTTACCTTTTCAGAAAATTATTCCAATTGTTGGATAGATTCAATCTTTACTTCGTTTGTAAATATATCTGAATCTAAGCACTGTGCATATTGATCCCAGTTTGTTTTCCTAGGATCTCTAAATGCAGAAGGTGGTAAATCACCTCCACCCCATTCAAACATAATGTGTTTATGATCAGAAAGTGAGATTTCATCTGACACACGCCAATCCGACAGGATAGAAAGCGTTCAACGCAGGTTTCTTCACTGTCTCACTCTACTGGCATATCTACCGCTTCAGGCAAGAGCGCTTAGTTTGAGATATAACTCATTGATAAGATTCCCTTTTCGTCGTACCAACTATAGTGTGGAATTCATGGCCTTCTGCGAGTTTTTAATAAAGTAGCCTTTATTTTTGATGACAGATTTTCCCGTAAAACGTTGAAGAATAAGTTCGTGACTGCTTTCAGACGATTTGTGTAATTTAGGCCAAATTTTGTTTTACCATAAGCGCCCTGTGTGATAGTATTACCAAATAAATAAATAAAAACCCAAATTGATCCACCGGGCAGGTGAATAGAACCTTTGTTACCCAGTATAATCTCGTTTTTGATATTATCCATGGATATATGTACGAGCCCTAATGGATATTTTTTATTGGTCTCAGTTTCTGCACTGCTCAATTGCTGCAAACAAAACAGCAATTGCTAGTTTGAATTGGAGTCCAAAACATAAATCATAGCCTAATGACTTTTTACTTAATCTGCTTTATTGCACAATCTTATTATATACAATCTTATTATATTACAACAATATTTGACGAACCAATAAAGTTAAATAATCAATCAGCCCGATTCTCTTCATTGATTTTCTCTTTCGCGAATAACCCGACTGCAAATGGATTTCTCATTCAGTGTGTTGATTCAGGCGCAAGCTAACTATAGTCGCTATATTTATAGTCTGGCGGATAGAATTTCGATCTATCAAAGAGCGGAACCAATTCAATATATTGTAGACCAACAATTGAAATGGTACTATCAAGTTTTATAAACAAAACTTTGATTATGCTTTCATCATCGGATAGGGGAAATTTAAGTTAGTTTGCGTAAGTGAGGCTTAAGTCACGAGAAAACGGCTTCCGGGAGTTTTGTTCGTAATAGCTGATGTGCCTTTTTCTGTTGTTGGTCGTGAATTGACAGCTTAATTGGTCAAACGACTATTTGACAGCTCAATTGGTTCCCGAGATTTTCTCCGCCAGGCTATGAATATAGCGACTATACAGCTAACATCATCTTATGTTGAACTGTCCTGTGACGTGAGCTTAGCGAGAAATTCGTTTATGTTGCCGTGGTAAATCAAAGAGAGAGGCCGAGGATAGGCTCTTTTCAAATGTTCCGCAAGAATACAGAATAAAATTCGAAAAACATGTTGCACCATAGCCTGCGGCACCTCTAATAACTACGCTGACGGGACTGATCGGTCAGAGTTTCCAATTTTGTTTCACGATGTAGCAGTTCCAATAGCGATTTTTAAAAATGAGTGTGATGTATAGACCAAGGTTTAAAGCGCCAGGAAAAACTCGCTGCACACGGCCAACGAGATCAACCCAAATTTGATTTTACTTTACTCATAAATCACAAAAAGTTTTTTTTTCCAGAATACCAGAAAAGGATAACACTAACGATTGGATTTTCTCGGTCTATTGGTACTACTACTAGACTGTGTAAAATTTTCGTAAATTTTCCTCATTTTCCAGCAGATTATTGAGGTTTTTATTTAGGTTGATCTCATCGGTCGTGCACAAATTTGAAGGGACAACATCTGACTGGTCTTATAGAGCTTTTCGACGTCAAATCGGCGCTACTACACACTACTGTACAATTTAAATTGAACGAGTGCGAGCAAGAGGGAAACACATTAGTGGGAAAATACACCGTCGATTCATACATGTGTGATCGATAAAGAACGACGACTAAGCATCGAAAAGGTCTATTGGAATATGTAGGGTAGGATGGTTCAAAACGCACCCCTGGGGTAAAATGGCCCTGCGCTGTTTTTCATAGCTTTCCGATTGTCAATTCATGAATTTAACAATCAGCATTGCTAGTTCAGTGCTTGAATTAACTTTCTGGCACATGCTATTTCCAGAATTAGTAATGGGAAAGCAACGAAAAACTGCATGGGGCCATTTTAACCCAGGGATGCATTATGGGCTATTCTCCCCTAAATTTCACGATTTTGCGTCCGATTTCTTCTTCTGATCATAACGCCCAAACTAAACATAAAGCCTTCTTCTAAAAAAAAAAAAAAAAACAGGGGTCAACCGACATGCACGTATTAACCATATTGATCGAATAAGCCATCTCGAAAAAAGCTTGCCTAGATTAAATTGGGAATCGATTGGGCTTTATAGATTGAGAATTTTTTATACAGGTGAGATAGCTTGTGTGGATGGCTATCGGACGCAGACGGCAGGACGTGTGAAAATCGATTCTAATACCTATGTTACGCTAGTAACAAAGGTAAAACCGGGAAATGTAAGATAATTTTACGGATTTGCTTAAAAAGTATACAGAATTTATAATGTTCCACTGCATGATCTGATTAGGTAATGTGGGCATCGTAAGGTTTTTAAAATAATTTTATAATTTTCATGGAAGACTGGTGTGCAATTTGCACTATTTGAGATTGCGCGGCTATTTAAATCTGTGTATGCATCAAAAACATTATTTTGTGACACCTCTCCGACATTTCGGTGAAAAATGACACCTTTTTCAAGACAAAGTTTGTTTCCCCAAATACACTGCCACTTGAAAATTATCTCGTGAAGGTTTAATACGAAAATCTGCATGCCATTTTAAGAATATCCATTACATTTGTTACAAGAAAATAATGCAGAGGATGTGAGAACTCGACTCTTACAATTGATGTTCATGCCATTTGTTTTGCTTGTGGGTATTTACATTCGAATCCACTTAGTAGACATATTCAACAGCGCTGGATACTTGCCGTTAGGCACCGTTCAAAGAACAGGAACACTTCGACCAACGGAAACTCTAGAACTTCGTAAGTCTCGGTAATGAGTTGATCAGAAATGTTCATTTGGAGTGGTTCGTTTTCGTCGTGACCGGGACCGGTTTTTGCATTTTTGTCATACGTATAAACGTAGAATGGAGCGGGCTGATGATATGCTGGTTGAGAACATGAAATACGATACCATTTTGAAACAAAAAGCATAACGCTGGGGAAACTTCAGGCAGCTCAGAAGCACAAGAAACTACATGAAAAAAATACTCCTATGTTGGTTTCTATGTTGGCACCCCGTTCATTCATAAGCGTGTATCCGAAGGCGATTTTTCGGGAGCATCGATATCTGTTTGGGAGCAGTGATTGAAAGAAAGTTGATAACCTTTTGTAAGGCTTCCGTCGGTTATTCATGTGCGTCCGCCGTGATGCATTTTTTTTTGTGGGTCAATTTCAGGAAAAAATGTATGCTATGTCAAAATTTTCTGATGTTAAGTTGATGAGATGTGAAAGAAATATGGTGTCGTTTCTCAGTTTAGCAAGGGACCAACATTCCCATAGAAGCTGTGTGAAAAATAGCTCAAGCGGACTTACCCAGTTCTCCCGGATACTCTTGCTGCGCCTCCATCACCATCCGTTCAATCCACCAAAGGTCACCGGATGCCCCGGGACTGGGCGAACTATTTTCCGCATTGTTGTTGCTTCCGGCGGGTGGTTCTAGCATCTCTTCGTCCTTGTAGATATCCCACTCGGTGGAAGCCGTCGGCGTCGTGTTGGCGTCGTTATTGTTGTTGTTGCTCAGGGGAATAGTGGCTGTGTTTCCACCGCTGGGCAAATGCATTCGGAACGACGTTTTCGGAGCAATTTTGAAGGCTTTTTGATACACTCACTCACAGGACAGAGAAGCACAAATCAGACGATAAAGACTATTACTCACTTCGAGCACGACGATTCAATCGTACGAGACACCGCGCAGAATATTAACTATTCACTCGTTTTCTCCTTCAATCTTCACTACTCTTCCGAATGATATTGGCACAATCGATTTGTATTAGTCACTGATGTTGCGCTTATTGAATGGTTGGCTTTGGCAGGGTTGTGTGCATAAATTGCGTAGGCCGATGGATCATAACTCGTCAACCACTGTTTCAATTTCACCCGGGACCTGAAACCAGAAAAAGGGTTATAACTTATTAATTACTACCGGTTTAGGATATGCAAACCATAGATACTGTCTACTTTACTACCTCTAATCGATAATATTTGTTTAGAGTGGATGTTTTTATTCGTTTGGCCACACGAGCCGCTACCTACCATGGGAGGGTGTGAAACCGAGTAGCTTTGTTTGCAGACAACTCAGGGTAAACTGTATCCGGAGCTCACTGGTTCATCGTCAAATAGCACAGGACGACAGGAAGCCGGTGCGAGGGGAAGTGTAACTAACCCACAAAATAAACACCAAACCAATATTGTCTACTGGTCAAACAGATGACTGGTTTGTGGGTAAGCGGGTTTGGGTCGGTGGTAGTACTGATGCATTTAAAAAAAAAAAACTGAACTTAGAAATCAATTCCAGCATGGGTTTTGTAAATTGTGAATTGTCGCTTATAATTTCCCTCAAGGCTCAACTGTTAACATGAAAATTTAAGTTCTTATCAAACGGGGTGTTTCTTTGGAAGTGAATGGCACATAACACAATAATTATCTGACTAGATGCTCGCAGTAATGACGAAATACCCAGCAACTAAGAATTCCAAGAAATGTCTTTCTGGTTTATCCAGAATGCAAGCATATTTCAATCCGTTCAACTTTATTTAATCCACGCGCCAGACATCAGTGCCGTGAAATATTGTTGTTATCCAGGAAAACAGCAACTTCAAGCGCGTTGCAAGATCAGCGTGCTTACCAACTGATACGGGTATTTGAATTGGTGACGAAATACCTCCCCAAGACGTGTCGCGTCGTTGCTGAGCTCGCGTAGCTCGACTTAGCTTGAACGGTGGATTTTACTCTTCGCGCGTGAATGAGTAATCACCTTTAATTACGAATCATCGGACATGCCTCCAATATCGAAGGCGCGACGTGGTTCGGTGGTGGTATGAGGGGTCTCCCTTTTCAAGCGTGAACTGGTTGACTGTCGATACCTCATCGTCGTCATCGACGGTGTAGCATAAATAAACAATAAACAGAGTGTGTCGTTTAGTGACTTATATTTTGCGATTGCTGCTTTGCTTGATGCTTATAAGCCAATCTGCACGCTTCAAGTTTAATCATAGAGCGATGTCTCGGTTTTTCCTAATTGTTGGGAGGGAGGGTTTAAATTTGTAGCACCGCTTTAATGGAAGGCAGCGATTGAAAAGTATTGAATATTCAAATAGAATTAATTTCAATCTTCATCACTTGGGTGATGTACATACGTTACTTGTGCTAAAAATACTAATATTAAACCGGTATCGAACAAAAATATGTAACATTTTGATTTATTTTCTCTCTAAAATTTCAATAGGTTATAACTTTTCAGAATGTACATCAAAATTGGCCGCGCGTGGATCCACTATTTAAGGCTTATGCTCGCAAATCAAATTTCTCTTACATCCAATGTAAGGTTGAATTTATTACATCCTCTGCATATGTTTCATACTACAAATGTAATGGCATTTTTTTCCAGAATGCATATTTTTGTATTAAATCTTCACGAGATGATTTTCAAAAATCGTAGAACAAGAACTTTTGTTCAACTTTTTGAACTTTTCGTTGGTATTGTTGGAGATTGTCAATAATTCGGGAAATTCCAAAATAATAATGCCGTAAATTAAACGACCGGTACCGGGGTGTTACAACATTTGCCCATATTATTCAACCGTACTGTAATATATTAAGCTAGGCGTATTTTACATAAATTAAGAGGGTTTAACTTATAGCGAATTTGTTTTGATTCAGTTCCAACCTGGATCGGGTATCACGATTGGGTCTGCTTGTTGCCTTTCAAACGTCATTGTTAACGTTTGTTTTTGTAACTGACAATTAGCTCGGGTTCGCACAGGTTGGAACTGGTTAATAAACAAATTCGCTATTACACTCTTTGCAATGTATAGGCTTAGTTTTAAGAAAGAATCACGAGGAATTCGTTTTGTAGACATTAATTACTAAGTAAATAAAGTTAATAAATTCAATAATATCAATAATCCACTAGTTATTTTTTTAATTGTTAGAACTTAAAAACTAGTAAATGCATCACGATGCTAAAATTGATGGTATACTTTTCAATTTTCTTTCATTTTCATCTACTTTTCCTCTACCTTGTTTGTTTACTCTGTTTATCTTTAGTTTTCCTACCCACTCACCACTACTGACATGAAGATGTTCAGACCGGTGGGCATTGGGTTGGTTGCACGATGGTTGAAACCGAGCTGCAGTCGATCTACAGTAAGGGCGCGTTGGCGTGGACTCGTCAACACTCCCCCCAGGTACGTTGACCACCCGGTCAGCTTACACCGCTTCGCGCCGTACGTCTAATACAACTTGCTTGGTCACCGGACGTTCATATAATCCAGTTGATGTCCTTACCGTCGCTGATCTGGGTTGGCCGTTTCGTCCAGGTTGGGTATATATGATCCTTAGATTTCCAAACCAGGTTGGTTTGAACTTGAGATAGTCACCAACTCTACCACAGCACGACACCGCTGCCATCGAGGGTGCACAATCGTAGTCAACTGGAGTCGGTCGGGAATTGACCGTGCCTTTTGTTTTGGTGAGCAGGTTCCGCAGAACCTCGTCCAACAGCTTCCGTGCTGGTAGGATCGCCATCAGGTTCATTTTGACGGAATCGAAGCCCATGTACGGGGAAGAGGGAAGCAAACACGCCCAGCTCATTTCGGCATCGATGAACTCCTTTATTAGCTCCTCTTGGCTCACTAACTTTTCCGCTTCCGTCATCTTCCGATTCGCACCGATGAAGTTGGTGCTCCGGTCGCTGTAGATAACTCGTGGTTTTCCTCATCGGGAATTGAAGTACCGAATCGCTTCGATGTGAATTGCACGTATCGTGAGGCAGATAGCGAGCATCCCCAGCATTTCTCAACTTGTTGCCAGTATGGGTGAATGGGCGTTCGAAAGTGGCAACAGCTTATTTTATACACACCTGCTTTACCTATAACATTAACTGGGTCTTTAGTGGATCCTAACAATGATTTCAACTGGTTATGTTTACTGGTGAAAACTGAATCTAATCCGAATTGTTTTAACTGTTGTCTTAGCTTACAAGTAATATCGGACACTCGTTTCAATGGTTCAGGTTCTGCGGTGAGGGTTATAAATAATCTCCTTTGTAGAATTCTCGCTTTTTATCAATGATTGCCTGGATTGTGGTCTCCTTGTATCCGTTGAGTCTTGCTGTTTCGAAGATGTACTGTAATTCCTTAACCTTTCCTGTATCGCTGAGTGGAAGAGTCTGCATTCGATGAATCATGTGGTGAAACGCGGCTATTTTCTGCTGGAACGAATGGTTGGAAGTATAGGGGATAACTCTTTTGGTGCTTGTTGGTTTCCTGTAAATTTCGTATTAAAGCGAGGAAGATGATGACGATTCCCTGGTGACTAGAAAATCGAGAAATGCGAGTTTCCCGTCTTTTTCTACCTCGTGAGTGAATTTGATATCCTTGTGAATTCTGTTGATCTCATCTAAAATTTGTGGAAGGGCTTCCCGTTTAACTACGCTGAAGATATCGTCAACAAACCTCCACCAACGGTTTGGTAATAGTCCTTTCTCCTTCAGGATTGTCTCCAAACCGGCCATGAAAAGTTCACACAAGAAGGGGGATAGGAGGTTTCCCATTGGAGCTCCTTTCGTTTGCTTGTAGAAGTTACCTCGGAAAGAGAAGTAGTTCTCTTCCATACAAAGGTGGGTCAGCTTAAGGTACGTCCGAACCTTGTTTCTCCATGTTGCATCCTCTCGTTGTGTTAATAGCCAGTCCTCCAAATGGTTGATCGCTTGCTTGACCGGTACGCTGGAAAAATGAGCTGTGACGTCGAAAGATACTATAATCTCGTCCTCGTTGATGTCTTCTGAAGATTGTAGTTGCTGGGCGAACTCCTGGGTGTTACTAACTGCTTTACTCTGAAACTGATTTGGCATACTCTGGAACTCTTTGACTAGCCACTTCGCTAGTTTGTGGGTGGGGCAACCAACTGCAGACACGATCTCTCGCATCCCGAGCAAAGTCGGTTAACAAAATGAAAGCAAATCGATATTAAAGTGTGCAGTTCCTATCATAATGAAAACTCATTTTGATTTCAAATGTTGCGACATAAGTCTGATATCATATTGTGCTTTCATTATGCAGTCAAGACTTTTTAAATGAAAGCAACTTAAGTTGAAGTTCTGCTGTTTACGTCTTGTTTAAAATTTAATTGAAATTCATCTGTCGTTGAACTAATGATTATTGTTTATTTGATTTGTTTAACACATTTTAAGTCATTCGTGACTTGCCCGGGGTGAGATTGGAGCCGAAGTCTTTCAGCTTGAGAAACATAAATGGTAACCATTTACTCCAAGCCCGTATTCAGTTAAACATTATGAATGCAAAATCAGTAATCAAATAGATTTCATTGAAAGCAGGATTAGTTTTCCGTTTGCTTCAACAGTGTAAAATTTTGTTCTCATTTTTGCTGTGTTAACCGTTAAGTCAACCAAAATGAGATCAACTGGAGTATTCAAAATAAGTTACATCATAACAGCAAATTTTGATTTCAATTTGATCTTCAGCTTTGCTCGGGATTTCATTTCCCGGTGTGTGGACTTTGGGGAGACCTTTGATCCTGGGTAGAATGGGATTGGGTTCCCGTAAACGACCTGCTCCATCTCCTAATATCGATTTGCACTCCTTCAGTGCTTTCTCCACGCGTTTCACTATGTTCTGTAAGGGGTCTACTCGAAGCTGTCTATACGGTCCGTTGTTAATCTTCGTTGTCATCTGATTGTCGTAATCGTCCTTGTCCATGATAACGACCGCGTTTCCCTTGTCTGCCTTCACGTAGTATAGCTCCTTTACGATTCGCACTACTTTTATTAAATCAACTTTCCAAACGATCATGAAACACGATGAAATCATATGACGGTGGCCAATGTACATTGATGACACCTTCAGGCAACAATAATTCGA